AAACCCTGTCTCAAAAAACCAAAAACAAAGCAAAACAAAAATTGTAATAAATCATCTTAATAGTAGTGATCTCAAATAAATGAAAGTACATTCTTGCCTGGCAGTGGTGGCACATACCTTTAATCCCAGCACTCAGGAGGCAGTGGCAGGCGGATCTCTGTGAGTTCAAGGTCAGTCTGATCTACAGAGCAAGTTTCTGGACACCAGGGCTACACACAGAAACTGTGTCTTGAATCACCCCAAAAAGAAAGTACATTTTTACTGGGCTGAATTTGATGATGTGTATGTAACTTATAAGATGTCTATTGATGTCTTCCATTCAAGGGGGCCACAGTGATAAAAATGATCACAGAAAACCCAGAACATATCAATCTGCTAAAAAGCACAATCAAGATTTAGGTCACAAATCAGTGGCTATTTCAAGAATGTGCTCCAGGTTGCAGGTTTAGATGCATGAATTCTCTCATATCAAATGATTGCTCCAAGCTCACCATGCTCTTTTCTTTCTTTCTTTCCTTCCTTCCTTTCTTTTTTGACAGAGTCTCATTATGTAGCTCAGGTTGGCCTTGGGCTCTTATTTTGGAAGAGTAATTGTTAAAATGCTAGTTCCAAAACAGTGTAACAAAATCCTCACATTAATGTCTTCAGGTTAAACTAAACTGACAACGGTTCAATCATTTCATCTACTTCTCAATTTCAATTTTTAGCAACCTTTTTATTCATGACCACATGGATGAAACTGGAGGAACTAAGGAAGTAAGGGACTAAGCCAGAGGCAGGAAGACAAACACTGTCTGATGTCCCTCATATGAAGACTCTACAAAGCTTGCCTGGAGCTGGAGACATAGCATAGCTCAGCTGTTCTTCCAGAGGACCCACGTTTGATTCTCAGCATCCACATGTTGGGTCACAACCACCTGCAACTCCAGTTCCAAGGGACCTGATGCCTTTTTCTGGCCTCCTCAGGCACCAGGCTCACATATGGCACACAGACATACATGCAGGCAAAATAGTAATATATATATATATATATATATTTCAAAACACTTTTTAAAAATTAATAAATTAAGTGCTGACCTTGGGCTGGAGAGATGGCTCAGAGGTTAAGAGCGCTGCTTGCTCTTCCAAAGGTCCTGAGTTCAATCCCCAGCAACCACATGGTGGCTCACAACCATCTGTGATGAGATTTGGTGCCCTCTTCGGGCCTGCAAGCATGCATGTAGACCACTGTATACATAATAAATAAATAAATCTTTTTTTTTTTTTAAATGCTGACCTCGAGAAGGTTGAGAGTCTCCAAAGCCTGATGAGAGCAAGGTATGTGGGTTGGAATGAGAAATGCAGATAAATGAGTAATAGGAAGGAGCAAGAGGTTCGGGTTTGCTGTTGCTCAACAAGGTAACTGTATGCACCATCCATGTCAGAAAGCTAGACAAAGGCATTCTGAAAATATTCATCACGAAGAAATTGATAAACATTGAAGGAGACAGATGTGCTTAGCCTGATATAGATGTAATAGTATGTACCAATATGATACAATGAGCCATAAATCTAAACAATGCTATGGTATTACATATCATACATATTAAAAATTAATTTAAAGATAACTCTAGGCTGATATTTTTTTCTTGGTTTTGTTTGTTTCTTTGTGTGAGACAGGGCCTCACTATCTAGTACTGGCTGGCCTGGAACTCGATGTGTAAACCAGACTGACCCTCAAGTCACTGAGATATCAGACTGCCTCCCTAGTGCAGGGATTAAAGGTGTGTGCCACCATGTTTGAATTTTCCTTTTGCTAAAGGTGAAACATCTGACGGTATTTGAATGCTATTAGTTCAGATGGGCATGGTAGTACATGCCTTAATTCCCGGTACTCTGGAGGCAAAGGCAAATGGATCTCTGTGAGTTTGAGGCCAGCCTGGCCTACACACAGAGTTTCAAGACAAGCAGGGCTACATAGAGAGATCTAATAATAATAATAATAATAATAAGAAGAAGAAGAAGAAGAAGCTGCATTTCACTCCAGTAAGAACAAATAACCTCAAAAAAATTTAACAAGCTAGGTTCAGATACACAGGAGACTGAGACAGGAAGAGCATAAGTTCAAGACCTACCTAGACTATGGAGTGAGTTCAAGGCCACCCTGGGCAATTAGGTATGCTTCTCAAAATAATAGAGAGCTGAATAGTAACAAAACAGCATGGTACTGGTATAAAATGGGCACATTGATTAATGGAATGAAATTGAAGACCCAGACATAAATCCACATGCTTATGGATACCTGATATATATTTTGGTGGGTTTTTTAAATTATTTATTTATTTTTATTTTATGTGAATTTGTGCTTTGTCTGTGTGTATGTCTGTGTGAGGGTCTCCTGGTTCCCTGGACCTGGAGTTACAGAGAGTTGTGAGCTGCCATATGGGTGCTGGGAATTGAACCCAGGTCCTTTGGAAGAACAGTCAGTGCTGTTAACCGCCAAGCCATCTCTCCAGCCCCTATTTTTGGTGTTTTTGAGGCAGGGTCTCTTTATGTGGCCCTGGCTGTTCTGGAACTCACTATGTAGACCATGCTGGCCTCGAACTCACAGAGATATGACTGCCCCTGTCTCCAAGTGCTGGAATTAAAGGCATGTACCACTCCATCTAACTTGGACACCTGATTTTTGTTATTGTGTTTTGTTTTGGGACAGGGTCTCTCTGGGTAGCCCTGGTTGTCCTGGAACTTGCTCTGTAGACCAGGTTGGACTCAAACTCATAGAAATCAGCCTGCTTCTGCTCCCAAGTGCTGGGATTAAAGGCATTCAGCTTGGACACCTGTTTTATTTTTATAAAGAAGCCAGAAGTATACACTGGAGAAAAGTCAGAATCTTCAACAAATGGTGCTGGTCAAACTGGATGTCAGCATGTAGAAGAATGCAAATAGATCCATACCTACCAAACTGCACAAAACCCAAGTCCAAATGATAAAAGACTTCAACATAAGACCAGATACCCCGAATCTGATTGAAGTGGGGAATAGGCTTCAACTCATTGGCACAGAAGACCTTCTGAACCGCACACCAACAACATAGACACTAACAGTCAATAAATGGGATGGTATGAAAATGAAAAGCTTCTGTATGGCAAAGGACACCATCCTTAGAGCAAAACAGCACTCTACAGAATTCAAAAAGAACTTTACCAATTGTACATCTATCTGATAGAGATAAACCCACACCAGAAAAAGTTCCTCTTGTAGATAGAAATTAACACAGAGACCACTGTACAATGTGCAGAGAGTGGGAGACTTTGGAACACTCAGTCCTAAATGGGACATCTTCATCAGACTCCCCAGGGCTCAGGGAGCTATGTCGAAGAGGAAGCAGAAAGAGTGGAAAAGCCAAAGGGAATGGATGACTCTAAGGAAAACAGTGTCTTCCAGACACAAAATGACTGATACACATTTGAATGCACAGAGATTGTGGCAATGCACATGATCTGCACAGGTTCAAGAAAGATGGGGTCCCAGCACTGGGATGAGGAAGTGGACACAGGCTGCCACCCTTAATAAAGAAACTATCTGCAATTAATAGCCGCTGGCAAAGGGAAAATAGGTTTTCTCTACTGAAGTCTCACCGGGTTTATCAACCATACTTCAGGGCAGGCGCCATTACCCACACAAAAGGAACTCTATGGTATTTTTGTGGATTGTTTCATTTTGCTTTGTTATTTTTGTTTGTTTGTTTTTTCGAGACAGGGTTTCTCTGTGTAGTTTTGGTGGCTGTCCTGGATCTCGCTCTGTAGATCAGGCTGGCCTTGAACTGGGATTAAAGGCATGTGCCACTGCCACCCCAGCCATCAACATAATTTTTTAACACAGCAGCAATAGTAACATACACTGAGTGAGTGCTTGTGATAATGAGGCAAGCACCTCATACAACCTTTAATTGCATTTTGAAAAAACCCATTGAGACTTTCTTTCGTTATCCTCGAGCTGAGTGTAAGAGCAACTGAATAGCTAACCTAAAGTCACAGAGCTAGAAAGTAGTAGAGTGCCACCAAAGCCCATAGCTAGGGTGATTGTGAAAAAATCTTGTTCTAACTCAGATACTGTGGAAACTCTGATGATAGCTATGTGATTGTGAAATTATAGTGTGTGTATGTGTGTGGTGGGGGTGTATGCCACAGTGCACATGTGAAGGTCAGAGGGCAATCTGCAGAAGTCCGGACCTGGGGACTGGTCAAACTCAGGTCACCATACTTGGCAACAAAAGCACCTCTTGATTTATCCCTCACCAGCCCTTAATTTTTGATATATTTATTTTGGACCCAAGTTGGATTTTCCCATATTGTTATATAAAACCTATTTTCAAAAATGAAACCCTTTGTTTATAAATAACATTTATATATTGTAGCCAGAAGGAGAAACTTCTCTGGTCCTGCCCAGCCCGCAGTAGGGACGAATCTCTCCCACCTGGGTCCCTCAGCCTCTTGGTCCCAAGTAAACACACAAAGGCTTATATTATTTACAAACTGTATGGCCTATGGGCCAGGCTTCTTGTTAGCTAGCTCTTATAACCAATTTCTATTAATCTGTTTCCCCGTGGCCATGGCGTTACCAGTCTGCTGGCATCTTGTTGCTCCTTGGGCAGTGAGCTGGGGTCTCCTCTGACTCCACCTTACTTCCTCTCATCTTCAGTCTGAATGTAGCACCTAACCTTATCCTGCCCTGCCATAGGCCAGTGCTTTATTTATCAACCAATCAGAGCAACACATATTCACAGCATACAGAACGACATCCCACAGCAATGTATATTTAAAAAAAGGGTCTTTGCTTAAAAAACTTTAGGCAGGATTTGGAAGATCTGGCTTAGCCCTTAGGAGCACTGACTGCTCTTCCAGAGGACCCAAATGGCGGCTCATAACCATCCATAAATCCAGGTCCAGGAATCCGATACACACTTATGGTCTCCACAGGCACCAGGCATATGCCTACATGCAGGTAAAACACCCACATACATTAAAAAAAAAAAAAAAAAAAAAAAAGCTTCAGGCAAGAACCTACAGGCCCCAGAAACAAAAGAATGGTGTCTTGCTTGTAGTGACTAGAAATTACCACCAGAGGGTGCAATTTTCTAAGTGGTGGCAATTATAGAGTCTAAGCAGAAAGAACCAAGAATCAGAAAGTTTCAAAGAGAATGAAGAAGAGGGAAGAATGTCTCTGTGGCAGCATGGTAGTGTTTAATGTATTAAAGCCGAGGGTAGCAAATTACAAAAATAAAGGGAGGCCATATAGGATTATAACAATATATAAAATGTCTTTTTCTTAGCCAACAAACTAAGATTAAAAAGAAAAAAATGAAAAAGTCTTAAATGTATGAGTAATAAGGTCAACACAACAGTTAGTGAAGTGGCACGTGGTTGTACATAACATGTAAACAATGGTATATTATAATTACAAACATACATATCATATGTGAGACCAAGTATCTAACAGTTAAAATGTCAGCTTCATATAAGAGGAAATAATGTAGAAATAATTGCTTATTGAGCAGATACATTAGGTATTTAATGTCCTCTATCTAATACAAACCTATAATATTGGCATCCTTAGAGTACTGTCCTCATTTTGTTAGTAAACTGGGGCTTATACTCAAAGATGGTTTGTCCAAGTTCCTACTAGTTCCATGTAGGAGAGACAGGCGAGACTCCGAAGATCTCCCTCCCTCCAGAGCACTGAAGTGGTGTTTACCTCTTCCCAGCTTCACAAAGCGCCCCCCCTCCACACACACACACCCACGCTCCCATCCACCTCTCCAGCTTTTCTCACTCCGTTCTGTGAACAGGCCGTTTTCCCTGTGCAGGACCTTTTCCGCTTGTCTTTGACTGGCTTCTAGTCCTCCGGGAAGTCTCTGCTCTCCAAGCCTGGGTTGGGTGGATTTCCTTCAAGTGTCCATAGCTCCCCATCATTGTACCCCACTGCCCATCTTCTCATCTAAGCTGCGGGTTGGAGTGGAGTGGAGACCAGCTCAGGCGTGCTCCCGCTGGCCTCCCGGGTCCTGGCAGTGTGGCTGGCATAAATATTCATATCCTTTCTCCCAGCCCCAACCTTGTGCTCCAGCTCTGGGATATACTTCCAACCCACTTTGAGACATTTCTTTTTAATGGTCTTTCTTGTTCTCTTGAGACAGGGTCTCACTATGTAGCTTTGGCTAGCCTGGAACTCTCCATGTTGACCAGGCTGGCCTCGAACTCTGTTCTGCCTCTGTTCTCAAGTTCTGCCATGTTTATGTCCCTGTTGCTGGGATTAAAGGCATGTGCCACCCTACCCACCCAGAAGTCTCTGCAATTATTTATTTATTTGTTTGTCTGTAAGGTGCACCTTTATTAAACTGGTCTCAAGTCAGTGTACAGGCAAGCCCTGGCTGCCTCAACACCTCAACCCACTCCCAGGGAGACCAAAGCCTTCATACATCAAGTTGGGTGGGCAAGAAAAGGAGGACTACAGTGGCTAACCATTCAAAAAAAATTTTTTTAAAAAGTATTAAGGTGGAAGATTTTTTAAAAATTGCAGTACATAATTTACACAGAAGCAATGTTGTCACCTCCCCGGTGTGGACTCGGGGTGTGAACTCGGCCACCCTCCTCCAGGGAATGAGATGGCTTTTGGGAGAGTGAGGGACTTCCTGTATATAGCCATATATCTCATGGATACTTAGAATGACTATTAAAAAAGAAAAAACAAAACAAAACAATGTACAATCAAAGTCTTCAGCCACATCGTACAACTTTGGGGGACGCTTGCTCCAACAGACTTCACAGTTCCAGTTTTTAAATCCTGAGTCAAAAGCGCCAAAACAAAACAAAACTTTCTTAAATTTTTATTTAAATTTTTTTTTCATTTTATATACCAACCGCAGTTCCTCTTGTGGGCATACATGGGCGCAAAGAGGGTGCCGAGAGAAATTTAGACAAATAGAGCTTAAGCTTTAAGCTGTTTACGAGCAAAGATACAAAGGATGATGTGGAGAGGAAGTTAACTTGGGTTGTTTGTATGGAGATTAGAGACAAATGGTGAGGAAGGAAGTTAGCTCAAGTTATTTAGATGATGTCAGGGCATAAGCAACTTGCAAATAGGGTGATCTTTAAAATGATTGGTTGGTTCCTTCACCCGCTCCTAGGGGTCTGAGGTTTTCTGGTATAAAAGAGGCTTACTGCTTATTAATAAACGAGTTCTTGCTTGATTTGATTCCTTGCTGTGTTGGCAAACACTTACCTTTCCTCGGTTCCAGGCCACCTCTTCACAGGTGACCTAAGTTCCCGGTGGGGCAGGTCCCCACATCCTTTCTCCCCTTCTCCCCCCCCCCACCCCAATCCCAGCCCCATCCACTCCTCAGAGGGGGTAAGGCCTCCCTTGGGTAGTCAACAAAGCCTGGCATACTAAATTGAGACAGGGCCTACCCCCTCTTCCCTTAACAACAACAAAACCCCCCCCAAAAAAACCAAAAAACAAAGCCATGCCAATGTTGTCTCATTTTTTTTTTCTGCGCAAGTTAGGTTTTGTCAAAGAAAGGGTGTAAAACGCAGCGCTTAGTAACAGTCCGCCTAGAAGCATTTGCAGTGCATGACGGAAGGGCCAGACTCATAGTATTCCTGCTTGCTGACCCACATCCGCTGGAAGGTGGGAAGTGAGGCCAAGGTGGAGCCACCGATCCACACAGAGTACTTGGCGCTCAAGAGGAGCAATGATCTTGATCTTCACGGTGCTGGGAGCCAGAGCAGTGATCTCCTTCTGCATTCGATCTGCAATGCCTGGATACATGGTGGTACCACCAGACAGCACTGTGTTGACATAGAGGTCTTTGCGGATGTCGATGTCACACTTCATGACGGAATTGAATGTAGTTTCTTGGATACCACAAGATTCCATACCTAGGAAGGAAGGCTGGAAAGGAGCCTCAGGGCAGGGGAACCGCTCATTGCCAATAGTGATGCCCTGGCCATCGGGCAGCTCGTAGCTCTTCTCCAAGGAGGAAAAGGATGCAGCAGTGGCCATCTCTTGCTCGAAGTATAGGGCAACATAGTACAGCTTCTCTTTGATGTCACGTATGATTTCCCTCTTGGCTGTGGTGGTGAAGCTGTAGGAACGCACACTTAGGATCTTCATGAGGTAGTCTGTCAGGTCCGGGCCAGCCAGGTCCAGACGCAGGCTGGCACGAGGGAGAGCGTAGCCCTCATAGATGGGCACAGTGTGGGTGACCCCATCTCCGGAGTCCATCACAATGCCAGTGGTTCCAACAGAGGCATACAGGGACATCACAGCCTGAATGGCTACGTACATGGCTGGGGTGTTGAAGGTCTCAAACATGATCTGGATCATCTTTTCACGGTTGACCTTGGGGTTTAAGGGAGCCTCGATAAACAGCACAGGGTACTCCTCAGGGGCCACATGCAGCTGGTTGTAGAAGATGTAGTGCCAGATCTTCTCCACATCGTCCCAGTTGGCGACAATGCTGTGTTCAATAGGGTAATGCAGGGTCAGAATTGCCACTCTTGCTCTGGGTCTCATTACCCACGTAGGAGTCCTTCTGGCCCATGCTCACCATCACGCCATGGTGCCTAGGGTGGCCCACGAGGGAGGGAGGGGAAGACAGCCTGGGGGAGCATCAACGCCTGCGAAGCCGTTGTCAACGAGTGCAGAGATATCCGCATCCATGGCGAACTGGCGGCGTGCGTGAAGAGGTGAAGAGCGAGCGGCGAGAGACCTGTGTTTGCGGGTGGACGCAGCCTGGACGGCCAGCCCTCTGCAATTATTTATGACACTACAGTCATCAGGGTCTCTGAAGACTGCTATTGTAATAGCTTGAATTTGAGAGGCAGGACAAATACTTTTTGAAGATCCACATCCATAATACAGCAACAAACTCAGTGAATTCCTCCCATTATGTAGCCCTTGACCCTATTTATACAGCAGTTTACAAAAACCGGTCAGTTTTTTGTTTGTTTGTTTTCTGAAGCAGGGTTTCACGGAGCCCAGACTGGACTCAAATGCTGTGTAGCTGAAGATGACCTCACATTCCTGGTCCTCCTCCACCCCCCAAGTGCTAGAATTACAGGTGTATGCTATTATACTATTTATGCTTGATCTAAAACAAAAATTCTGATATATACCAACGTACAAGAACACACACAGGGTGGGGGAGGGGGTTTTAATCAATAAAAAGTTGGGTACCTTAAATCAACTTACTTTGATATTTATACTATGTTGTAGAATATTGTTTTAAGGTATGTGACTTTTATGTTGTATATGTTTAACTATGTGAAGCTGTGTTACTGTGCCTGTCTAAAATACCTGATGGCCTAATAAAGAACTGAACAGCCAATAGCAAGGCAGGAGAAAGGATAGGCAGGGCTGGCAGGCAGAGAGAATAAATAGAAAGAGAAATCTGGAAAAAGAGGAAGAAGGAGCCAGAGAAGGAGGAGGACATTGGGGGCCAGCTACCCAGCTACACAACAATGGAGAAATAAAGAAAGGTATACAGAAAGAGAGAAAGATAAAAGCCCAGAGGCAAAAGACAGATGGGTTAATTTAAGAAAAGCTGGCAAGAAACAAGCCAAGTTAAGGCTGTGGATTTATAATTAAGAATAAGCCTCTGTATGTGATTTATTTGAGAGCTGGGTGGTGGGCCCCCCAAAAGAACAAAAACCAACAACAATATTACTTCCAACTTAAGAGTGCCTTGTTATGTTTTGGATTGATTAAGAAACATGAACTTCTTGTGACTAGAGAGTTGGCTCAGCAGTTAAAAGCACGCATTGCTCTTCTGGAGGACCTGAGTTCAAGTCATAGCACCTACATGATGACTAACAACTACTTATAATTCCAGTTCCAGGGAATTTGAAGCCCTCTTCTGGCCTCTGTGTACACCAGGCATGCATGTGGTACACAGACAGACGTACATGCCAGCCAAAACACCCATACACACACACACACACACACACACACACACACACACACACACACACA